TCTTATCAGTTTCTCTTTCCTCCCTGATTCATTTCCAGCCCCCGTCCTATTGTTTATTTTTTAAACTCTCTGCATATTTATTTATCCTTTTTGTTCTCATTACAAATTCTCAGGATCATTTACTTATTTTTATAATCTGTACCAACCTGTGCCAATCAACCAACTTGAGTCAACAGTAAGTTTCAACTGTCATGGAACTCTGGATACCGGTGCTTAACAGTGAATCATCACCACTTGTCTCTCAAGAAGTACGTGAGATAGGTTAATGGAACTAACTGGTACCCTTTTAGGCTCTTTCTAAATCCAACATTTCCAAAGTCCATCACATACTTCAAAACCTGTTTCTGGTTAATCAAGATAGATAGATCAATATATGAATGCTTTCTCCTGAAAAAAACAGCTGAAATTTCTTTTTCCATTTATATCCTCTTGATTTCTTGAAAACTTTATAGATTTAAAGATATTTTGAGCCTCATATCATTCTGGGTGTAGAGAAATGAATGAGACAGTTTTTTACTTTAAAGGCAAAGATCTGAGGGTGGGCTTCCCCAATATGTTTATAATGACCCCTGTGGCTCTGTGATTTGTTTTCCCTTTTTATAAGCTAGAAAAATATCATTGGAACAATTCATTATTAAGTTGAACCTCGGTCTTTGCTGCTTCAGCCTTTACCACCCAGTTGGCTGAGGTTTTGTTAGGCCTGCAGGACAGTTTAAATTCTTCCTCTACACAAATCTGTTCTCTCATCAACCCCCAACTCTATTTATTTTCAAAAGGATTAATCTTCAGTAAATATTTTGCACCCTCAATTCTAATCCAGCATCTACTTCCACAAAACACAATCAGTGATGCTCTTCAGCTCTGTGGAAGTCCATGAATCAAGCCACATCCACAAGGAGTTGAGCTGCCCTTCACCTCTGGAGTGAGAATTTCTAAAGTGCCAACCATTCTTTAGAACTCACAATACTTAATCCTTGCCCTGGAGCCCTCTGAAAATAAACTCTTATTTAGCACAGAGAAGTGATAGGTTTACAACAAATGTCTCTATAAACATTTCCATAGAGCCTGAAGTTTTACATGTTTTTCCAAGGAACAGATTTGTGATTCTAGGGGCTGCTCAACACAGGAGAGGGAAATGTATTCAAATGAAAATAAAACAGGAGACAGGATGCATTCAGAATTAAATACTCTTACTATCTCCTCCTAATTTTTAGGTTATTTAAAATGATTTTTTCTAGTTTTTTGAAGAGGATTTTTAGTATACTTGGAACTTATTTTTAAGTGTAAATATATACAAAAATATAAAAGTCACACTGTTCACTTCTCTAAATTTCATAGACTGAACATACTCATGTAATCATTATCCAGTTCAAGACAAAAAACATTACTGGCATTCCCAATTCCCCATTTTCACATTCTTTCAGATATTCTTTCATATATTCCGTTATGTGATCAATAACTGGACATCTAAATACAGCTTAGATGTCCAATTAATAATACAGCTTGGCTGATATTTGCAAATATATAAATAGAACCATGTGGTATTATGTCTGGATTTTTTAGTTTTATATATTGTTTTCAAGAGCTATCTATAATATTGTTGAGTATAGCTGCAGTTCTTTCACTCTCTTTACTCTATAGCATTCCATTATATGAATGTAAGATCTTTTATTCATTTTACTGATTGTGTTTTATAGTTTGAGGCCACGTGAATAGAGATATTATAACTATTTGATACATGTCTTTTGATATATTAGTTATACTCTCTTAACCATGAGAATCTGTTTGCTCTATATCCTTAACAATACTTTGAATTATCAGTTATTGTTTTTTCATTTTGATCTTTATGATGGATATGCAGTTGTCACATTGTGGATTAGATTTACATTTCTTTGAGGATTAATGAAATTGAGCAATTTCCAAATGTTTATTGGCCATTTGAAAACTATCCTTTGTGAAGTCTTTTGCCCGTTTCTACTCTAATAGCTATTTATCCTTTTCTGATTGAACTTGGGAATTCTTTATATGTTCTAGATTAAATATAAAGTTCTTCATAGACATGTGAATTGCAAATATCTTTCACCATTCTGGGGAATGCCTTTCTCTTTTCTCAATAGTTTCTTTTAATAAAAAGAAATTCTAAACCTTAGTATTAATGATATATATGGGTTTTTCCCCTGTGGTTTTGGTATACTGTTTAAGAAAACTATTTATGCTGAAATCAGAAGATATTATTCTGTATTTTATTGTGAAACATTTATTGTATTTCCTCTTTTTTGTTTTGCATTAAGATATAACACAGTGAAGTTCACCATTTTTATTGTACAGTTCTTCAAGAGTTGGCAAAGGCATACAATCATATAAACACCACCATAATTTATATATAGAACACTTTCATCATAAAAAAATGCTCCTGTGCCTTTTTGTAATTAATTAGCTTTCTGCTAAAACCTGTTTCCATCTCTATGGTTTTGCCTTTTTCAGAAATTCTTGTAAATGGAGTCACACTATATGTAATATTTTGTGTCTTGCTTCTTTCACTCACCACAATGCACTTGAAGTTTATCTGTTGTATTATGCAGACATAGTTGTTTCTATTGCTGAGTAGTATGTAATTGTTTAGATGTATTGTCATTTGTTTATACATTACCCAATTGAAGGATATTTGGGTGGCTTTCAGTTTAGGGAGTTATGTATAAAGCTGCTATAAATATTCACATATTGTGTCAACATTTCTTGTGAATGACTATTTCAGAGAGAAATCTTTAGGTTATGTGGTTCCTTTCTGTTTAACTTTATAAAAAAAACTGTCAAATTGTTTTCTGAATTGCAGTGCCATTTTACATTTAAACAATGTATTAAATTTCTATCACTCATCACATGGTATTGTGAAATCTTTTTATTTTAGTTGTATGTCTATTAAATATCTTTGGGCCTATTTTCAAACTTTTATATTGGTTTATGAAAAGAGAATCATTTTCATGCCTCTCTTCTATTTTCTGGTGATTTGCTAGCAATCTTTGGCATTCTTAGGCTTGTTGATGTGTTGCTCCAGTTTCTTCCTTCATCTTCACAAGGCATTCTTGTGTGTGTCTCCAAATTTTCTTATTTTATAAGAATACCAGAGATAGTGAATAAGGCACCATCCTAATAAACTTATTTTAACTTGGAAATGACCCTATTTGAAGTAATATCACATTTTGAGATTCTCAGGATTAGAAACCCATTGTAACCTGTGACCAGCCTCTGTCTATTTCTTTCTGTACCATGACCTCTGGTGATCACCATTCTATTCTCTGTTTAAGTTTCACAAAATTCCACAAATAATTAAAATCATGCATTTGTTTTACTATGTCTGGCTTATTTCACTTAGCATAATGTCCTCCATGTTCTTCCATATTTTCCCAAGTGGCAAGATCTCCTTTTATTCATTCATAGATAAAAATTTAGATGGTTTCTACATCTTGACTATTGTAAACAATGCTACAATAAACAAGGAAGTGCTAATATGTATTCACGATCCTGTTATTCATTCTTCTGGACAAATATCTGGAAGTTGGATTACTGGATCTTATGGTAGTTCCATCTTTGATAATGTGAGGAACTTCCATACTGTTTTGCATAAGGGTTATACCAATTTACATTGCTACCAGTAAGGTATAGAGTTGCAATTTCTTCACATCTTTAACAACATATGTCTGTTATTTGTTTTGATAATAACCATCTTGACAGGTATGAAATGATATCTCACTGAGATTTTAAAAATATTTTTAGTTGTAGATGGACACAATGCTTTTATTTTATTATTTTTTTATGTGGTGCTGTGTATCGAACCCAGTGCCTCACATGTGCTTGGCAAGCACTCTACTGCTGAACTAAAACCTTCACTGTGATTTTGATTTTCATTTGCCCAACTTGGAATTGCAGTTGACTAGTGATATTGAACATCTTTTCATATTCACATTAGCCTTTAGTATGTCTTTGGAGAAATGTCTGTTCACATCCTGAGCCCATTTCTTTTAACCGGTTTTGGGTTTTTTTCCTTCTTGATTTGCCAGAGTTTCTTAACATATTTTGGAATTCATTCTTATTAAGGTGTATATTTTGCAAATATTCTCTTTTATTTCTTAGGTTGTCTTTTCATTTTGTTGATTTGTTGTTGTTGTTGTTGTTGTTGTTGTTGTGCAGGAAACCTTCAAGTTGATATAATCCTACATGTTATTACTTTCATCTAACACAGATCTCATTGATAAAATTGATGTCAATTATTTTTAACTTTCATGGTTTCAAGTCTTAAAATCTTTAATCCATTTGGAGGTCATTTCTATGTATGGTATTAAAGTCCGATTTAGTTCTTTTGCATGTTGATACACAGTTTTCCCAACACAATTTATTGAAGGAATTATTATTTACTAAAGTATTCTTGGTGCCTTTTAGAAAAGTAGTTGACCATATATGCACAGGTTCACCTCTAGTGTCTGCTCTGTTCTATTTATCCATATGTCTATTTTTAATGCCAGTAGAACACTATTATGATTACTATACTTTTGTAATGTAATATGAAATCAGGAAGTATGGTGCTTCTATCTTTGTTCTTCTCACTCAAGTTTGCATTTGTTTTGGAGTTAGTTGTTGTTTCATATGCATTTTAGGAGCGCTTTTTCTGTTTATGTAAAAAGAAACCATTTTAATAGAAATTGTACTGAATCCTTTTTCTTAATATTAAATTATTTCAACTCATGAACACAGGATTTATTGCTCTTTTGTTCCTTTTGATCAGTATTTTCAACTTATAAATGTCTCACCTCCTTGGTTAGACTTATTCCTAAGTATTTTATTTTTTATGACATTGTAATGTTTTGTTTTCTTAATTTATTTTTTAGATAGTTCATTGTTATTCATTGTTGTTGGTGGGAGATATTTGATCACCTTTGATCACTAATTCAGTTTCCCTATTTACTATTGTCGAGATTTTCTATTTTTTTCATGATTCAATTTTTTTTAATATGGAAGGCTTCACAAATTTGAGTGTAATCCTTGAGCAGAGACTATGCAAATCTTCTCTATTGTTCAGTTTTAGTATATGTGCTGTTGAAGTGAGCACAATTCAGTCTTGATAGGTTTTGTGTGTTAAGGATTTTATCCAATATTTTTAGATTATCTAGTTTGATGTCATACAATTATTGACTGTGTTCTCTTAGAATCTTTTCTATTCATGTGATTTTGATTTGATTTGTACCCTTTCTTTCTTTCCTGATTTAAATTATTTGATTTTCTCTTTTTCCTTAGTTTATCTGGCTAATGGTTTGGCAATTTTGTCAATTCTTTCAAAAGTAAGTCTCCTGTTTTTACATTTTTTTCCCAAATGCTCTCCTAATTTATTTGTGTCTCCTATAATCTTTGTTATTTCCTTTCTCTGCTTGACTTAAAAGTTCTTGAGATGCCAAGTTATAGCACTGAATTTGAGCTTTTTTAATATATGCATTTGCAGTTATTAACTACCCTATTTTTTAGTACAGCTTTTGTTGGATCCACAAATTTTGTTATGTTGTATTTTGGGTTTCACTGTGTCAATGTTTCCTTATACATTTTCCTTGAATCGTTGTGCTTAATTTCCACAAATTCTGAATATTCCAGTTTTCCTTGTGCTACTGATTTCTATCTCCTTTTATTTATGTTTGGAAGGGTACTTTGTATATGTTTTAGTCAGCTTTTTCACTGCTGTGACTAAAGGACCCAGCCAGAACAATTGTAGAGGAGGAAAGGTTTATTTAAGGGCTCACAGTTTCAGAGGTCTCAATCCATAGGCAGCTGACTCCATTCCTTGGGCTTGAGGTTAGGCAGGACATCATGGCAGAAAATTGTGGCAGAGAGAATTAGCTCACATGATGATCAGGAAACAGAGAGAGACTCCACTGGCCAGATATAAAATATATACTTCATAGCCCAGCTCCAAATGAACCACCTCCTCTAGCCACACCCCACCTGCCTCCAGTTACCACTCAGTTGATCCCATTAAGGATTAATTCGATGATTAGGTTAAGGGTATAACTCAATCATTTCTCCTCCAAACTTTCTTTCATTTCTCACGTGTGAACTTTCAGGGAATAACATTTAGAGGATTATAATATAATTTCAATTTTCTTGATTTTGATGACTTCTTGTATCCTAAAATATCTTCTATCCCCAAAGAAGTTCCATGTGTACTTGAGAAAAATATCTATTTTTCTACTTTGGGGTGGAGTGTCTATATATGTCTCTTAGTTCTTATTAGTCTATACTTTTTTAAAATTAAATTGTTTATTTATTCCAATTTGTTATACATGATGGTAGAATGCAATTCATTTCATATTAGACATATAGAGCCCAATTTTTCTTTTTTTTTAGTTGCTCATGATAGTACAATGATCTTGGCATATCATACATTTGAATAAAATGGGGTATAATATCTCATTTTTCCAAGTGTACAGGTTGCAGAATCCCATTGGTTATATGGCCACGTATATACTTACAGCAATACTAGTGTCTATTTTATTCTGCTGCCCTTCCTATCCCCCCTTCCCCACCCCTCCCCTCCCATCACCTCTCTCTACCCGATATAACATGACACATTCTCTCTTTTTTTCCCTTCCCCCTCACATAATCACATGTATTTTGTATAATGATGAGGGTCTCCTTCCATTTTCTGTGCAATTCCCCTTCTCCCTCCCATTCCTTCCCACCTCTCTTCCCTATTTAGTGGTAATAGTCTTATGCTCTTCCTCCCTACACTCTTTTGAGTCACCCCCGCTTATATCAGAGAAGACATTCAGCATTTGTTTTTTAGGGATTGGCTAACTTCACTTAGCATAATCTACTCTAATGCCATCCATTTCCTTGAAAATACCATGATCTTGTTATTTTTTAGTGCTGAGTAATATTCCATTGTGTATAAATGCCACATTTTTTTATCCATTCATTTATTGAAGAGATCTAGGTTGGTTCCACATTTACTTGCAAATGCCACAGTCTAGCTATGTGAATTGTGCTGCTATAAACATTGATGTGGCTGTGTCCCTGTAGTATGCTTTTTTTAGGTCTTTTGGGTATAGTCCGAGAAGGGGAATATCTGGGTCAAATGGTGGTTTCATTCCCACCTTTCCAAGGAATCTCCATACTGCTTTCCAAATTGGCTGCATCAATTTGCAGTCTCACCAGCAATGTATGAGGGTACCTTTTTTCCCACATCCTCACCAGCACTTGTTATTATTTGACTTCATAATGGCTACCATTCTTACTGGAGTGAGATGGTATCTTAAAGAAGTTTTAATTTGCATTTCTCTGATTGCTAGAGATGGTGAGCATTTTTTCGTGTATTTGTTGATTGATTGTATACCCTCCTCTGAGAAGTGTCTGTTCAGGTCCTTGGCCCACTTGTTGATTGGTTATTTATTTTTTTGTTGTTTAACTTTTTGAGTTCTCTGTATACTAGAGATTAGAGCTCTATCTGAAGCGTGTGAGGTGTAAAAATTTGTTCTGAGGATGTAGGCTCCTTATTTACCTCACATATTATTTCTCTTGCTGAGAAAAAAACTTTTAGTTTGAATATGTCCAATTTGTTGATTCTTGATTTTAACTCTTGTGCTATAGGTGTCCTATTAAGGAATTTGGGGCCCGACCCCACATGATGGAGATTAGGGCCAACTTCTTCTATTAGACACAGAGTCTATGGTTTGATTCCTAGCTCCTTAATCCATCTTGAGTTAATTTTTGTGCATGGTGAGAGAAAGGGATTTCAATTTCATTTTGTTGCCTATGGATTTCCAGTTCTCTGAGCACCATTTGTTTAAGATGCTATCCTTTCTCCATTGCATACTTTTAGCACCTTTTGTAATTTTGTGGATTGGTCTCTGTGTCCTCTATTCTGTACCATTGGTCTACCCACCTGTTTTTGGTACCAGTACCATGCTGTTTTTGTTACTATTGCTCTGTAGTATAGTTTAAAATCTGGTATCCCTATACCACCTGTTTCACTCTTCCTGCTTAGAATTGCTTTAGCTATTCTGGGTCTCTTATTTTTCCAGATGAATTTCATGATTGTTTTTTCTATGATTTGGGGGGATTGGCTTGCTTCACTTAGTATTATATTTTCCAACTCCATCCATTTACTTGCAAATGCCATGATTTCATTCAATTTTATTGCTGAGTAATGTCCAATTGTGTTTATATAACAAAGATTTCCTATCCATTCATCTACTGAAGGGTATCTGGATTGGTTCAACAATTTAGCTATTATAAATTGTGCTGCTATAAATATTGATATGGCTGAGTCCCTGAAGTATGCTATTTTAAGTCCTTTGGGTATAAACCAAGGAGTGGGATAGCTGAGTCAAATGGTCATTCCATTCCCAGTTTTCCAAGGAATCTCCATACTGCTTTTCATATTGGCTTCACCAATTTGCAGTCCCACCAACAATGTATGAGTGTGCCTTTTTCCCCCACATCCTCACCAACACTTATTGTTTTTTGTATTCTTGATAGCTACCATTCTGACTAGATCAAAACAAAATCTTAGAGTAGTTTGGATTTGCATTTCTTTAATTACTTGAGATGTTGAACTTTTTTATATGTTTGTTGGCTAATTGTACATCCTCTTCTAAGAAGTGTCTGTTCAGTTCCTTGGCTCATTTCTTGATTGGGTTATTTGGTTTTTGTTTGTTGGTTGGTTGGTTGGTGTTAAGATTTTTGAGGGCTTTATATATCCTAGAGATTAGTGCTCTATCTGATGTGTTTGTGGTAAAGATTTGCTTCCATTCTGTAGGCTTTCTATTCACCTCTCCAATTGTTTCTTTTCAGACTAATATCTCTAATGAACATAGATGCAAAAATTCACAATAAAGTTCTGGCAAATCAAATATAAAAACATATAAATAAAATAGTACACTGTGGTTCATCTTGGGTTCATCCCAGGGATGCAAGGTTTGTTCAACATATGGAAATCAATAAATGTAATTCATCACATCAATAGACTCAAAGATAAAAATCATATGACCTTCTCAATAGATGCTAAGAAGGAATTTGATAAAATACAGCATCCCTTCATGTTCAAAATGTTAGAAAAGCTAGGGATAACAGGAACATACCTCAGCATTGTAAAGGCTATTTAGGCTATGCCTCAGGCCAACATCATTCTAAATGGATAAAATTGAAAGCTTTCCATCTAAAAACTGGAACAAGACAGGGATACCCTCTTTCACCACTTCTATTTAACATAGTTCTTGAAACTCTAGCCAGAGCAATTAGATGAAAGAAATTAAAAGGATACAGATAGGAAAAGAAATACTCTTATTATCACTATTTGCAAATGACATGATTCTATACCTAGAAGACCCAAAACATTCTACCAGAAATCTCCTAGAACTAATAAATGAATTAAACAAAGTAGTTGAATATAAAAATCAACACCCATAAATTAAAGGCATTTCTGTACATCAGTGACAAATCCACTGAAAGAGAAACTAGGAAAACCACACCAATTTTACAATAACCTCAAAAAATAAAATAACATAAAATACTTGAGAATAAACTTAATAAAAGAGGTGAAAGACTCTACAACAAAAACTACTACATTTTAAAGAAAAAAATTAAAGAAGACCTTAGAAGATAGAAGGACCTACCTTGTTCTTGGATAGGCAGAATTAAAATTGCCAAAATGACCATACTTCCAAAAATACCATACAGATTCAATGCAATCCCAATCAAAATCCCAATGAAATTTCATATAGAAATAGAAAAGGCAATCATGAAATTCCCTCTGGAAAAATAAGAGACCAGAATAGGCAAAGCATCCTTAGCAAGAAGAGTGAAGCTGGTGGCATTACTATTACAGACCTTAAACTATACTACAAAATAATAGTAACAAAAACAGCATGGTATTGACACTAGAATAGACATGTAGATCAATGGTACAGAACTAAGGACACAGAGTATAATTCACATAATTATAGTTATCTTATATTAGACAAAGGCACCAAAAATGTACATTGGAGAAAAGATAACCTTTTCAACAAATGATTCTGGGAAAATTGGAAATCTACATGTAACAAAATAATATTAAACCTCTAT